TCCAAAAAAAAAAAATTAAAAACAAAAAATTGAATATTCCAAAAATACCAAATTTAAGAAGAAAAAAAAAGAAAATAAAATGACATACTACGTCGTTTGGTTTATGAATTTGGTGGGCCATTGTTGATCAATTACTGTCAATTTTGAGGACCCATTATTATTCGTCTAATTCTTGAATTGGGCCTTTTCTCGATCAATTTTATGTTTTTAAAGTAATTTTTATTTTACTAACGCACTTCATATTTTTAATAATATTATTAATATATAATATATTATGAAATAAAATATGAGATAGAACAAAACACCATTTTTAGTATTATTTTTATGTCGAATATAGTTTGTTAAACTTACTCTTTCATCTTCAGCTAAATACAAATAATATACTAACACATTTATTTCAATACTCCATATAATAATTGATTTTTCACTCGTTTAATTTACGGCACACTTATACATATATATGTTATAAGCGTATAAATATGAGTAAAATTATACACATATATAATAGGATATGACCCAATAAAGCCAATCGGATAGAACATAAAACAAACCATAAATTGGAGCATAAGTACAATAAATAAATAAAAAATAAAAAATCAAATGCTTAGAAAAGTACAAAAAATAGCTTGAAAATTAGGTGCACTAATCTTTCCAAAATAATAACTTGTTTAGAAAGAGTAAATGAAGGGTCTTTATCATTACACCATTGAAATAGACTACATGATGCAAATGATCCACATTTCATTTGTCATCAAGATTAGATGCTTCAACCCTATCCTTTTCCTACTTTATAATTAAATTTTTTTTTAATTTTTTAAAAATATTTTTCCTTAATTTTATAAGTTACCTTTAATTTTATAAGTGATTAGAGGAACAATTTTTACTTCTTAGTGATACACATACAGTGGCGGAGCCAGCATAAGGTCAGAGGAGGTCCTGCCCCCCTCAACATTTCTCAAATCCCTATTAATTTATATAAATATAAAAAAAATCTTGGTTTCGCTAGTGTACACATACACATGCACTAATATAAGAAAGAAAGTATAATATGAAAAAAAAATGACTATATTTTTTTTTCTTTCTAAAATAGCATAATTATTAATTAAATAAATTCATTTCCAATCTTAACTATCCACCTTGTTTCAAAGTCAATAATTAACATGCCTAACTAATTTTCAACAAAGAAAAAAAAAAAGACATAATTTCTCTACGTGCCTTGTTTCTTAGTTTTCACTAAAACTTTTTTAATGATGTTTGGCAAATCAACACAAGCATTTGGTGAATTACCTACCCTACTTTCTCCCATCTATTGTAATTTTTTTTTTTTTAAATATGAGGACAACTTCCAATTTCCCACTTTATTTCAATGCAAATTAAACAGTCTATATATTCGTAAAAAATTATCGAATGCACTAAATATGGTTGAAGAAATTAGATTGTAATATTTTTTTAGCGAAAATTACTTACAACTTCGATTATGTTGAATTTTTAGTCGAAACAAACACGAACACCACTATGATTTTATTTTCAAGTATGCATTAATTACGCAGTGTCACGTTTTTTCACATCAACCCTAATTTGTTGTGTTGGTTGAGAATTGAGATGGGACCAAAACCCATGTTCTTAAAAAACTTCCTATACAGCTAGCTTCTATGGGGAAATTAAACAAAATTCAACCCCCCCAAAGAATATAGCCCCCACCACCACCCCTATTTAGGAGGGATGGAAATTACATTCGATTTTCGATTTTTTTTTTTTTTCTGAAAGTGAAAATTTATATTCGATAAAGAAATGAAAATTAGATTTTCATAATTTGGAACGGAAAATTATGTTACGAAACCGGATTTTTTTTTTTCCAGATTGGGATTGGCGGAATTTTTTTTGAATTATTTTCTAAAATTAAAATCGAAAGACTCGGGATCTCACACATATTCTACTTCAGATAAATTGGGATCCGAAATGAAAATTATTAATTCATAATCTGAAATTAATCAATTATCGTATCGGAATTGACGGAGTTCGGAAATTCGATGAAATTAAAAAGGAGAAAATTGAGGCTTTGATGAGTAGGATATTATCCATATGTTGGGCTGAAAAGGGCCCAACCAATTGAACTTTATGACATCTGGGCTGCTGTAATAAATAAATGGGTGAATTAAAACCACCCTTGAAGTAATATATATTTACAAAACAAGTCCTTCAGTTTTTTATAACTACATTCTTTCCTTTGTAATTGGCAAATTTCCTACATTAACACCCTTTTGTAGGAGGGTTGATGTAAGAACTTTATAAATTACAGGGGGTGAATGTAGTTTCCAAAAAGATAAGGGATCTTTTCGTAAATAAACTTTACTTCAGGGAGGTGGTTGTTATTTAACCTAAAATTATATGGCCTCAACTCATGATTTGTATTGTCCTTGTCCATTGTGAAAGAAATTGAGCTTTCTCTTGTATTCTATATTTTATTTGCACTTTTTGAAAGCTATTTTGTTCCCTTTTTTCTGAATTTAATTTCAGATAAACATTAAATTCGTATATTATGATAAAGTATAATCCAATTACAAACCCAAATTTAATATCAATCAACAATAGTGTAATTCGATATTAGATGAGCATGACACATAAGCATTTTGCCACGTATTTATATTTGTATCATATATATAAATATATTTAATATGTTATGCATAAATATCAATATTTGTGATCATTAAATTTTGATCTTATCATCCTAGTCATTTCACAAGTGGAATTCGAATAAACATTTTGCAAAATATCCTTTTTTTTCACTAAGTAATAAAACATGTCCAAATCCATTAAAATAAATAAAAGAAATCAAAAAACTTAAAAAAAAAAACAGAATTTTTTGAAATTTTGGTTAAAAATTACAAATTATCGGACCGAAATCCACAAAATTTAAAATTTCTATTTATTTATAAAAATATATAACTAATTATATTTATATTAAGATTGTAATTTTGAAAAAAAGAAGTCGAAATCAAAATTGGATAAAAAAAACTTTCGAATTTCTTATACTATGCCAATATTAGTTAAAAAAAAATCCAAAAAATCGAAAACCAAAATTTTAAGGATTGAAATGTCAGAGAAAGTACAAAAAATTCCGTTCCAATTTCTACCGCTCCAGTTCGAAATTATATCCAACACCTTGGTTATCAAATTTGATAACGGATGATAAAAATGCCACGTAGTGAACTATGGTTGTCAAATTATCATGGTTGATATGTTGATAATAATTAGATAATAATGGATAAATATGCCACATAATGAAGTATAGATCTTCACAAAAGCCATATCCACAAACTATTAGGGCTTTCAATGTGGGACCCATTTATCCAATTGAATATTGCAATTTGTGTGTTCCTTTTTGGATGGCTTGTTTGTAGGGTTTCTCTTTTTTTGATATCAAGATACATCAATTGTTAGGTTGTGGAGTTTTAAATACCATACAATCTACTAGGATTTTTTTTTTGGTTATATTATATTATATATTTATATATAGATAATGATATATATATTTATGGCTCGAAATAGCAATATCATATATTTCCGAAGAATTCGGCGCCACATTGGGTTATTTACATCAGATGATTATCGCTTGTAGATGTTGTTAAAGCGCACATATGCATAGATGTGCGTGTAATTATGCATATAGTTAACAATAACCCGATGTAAATAACCAGTCTAGCATCTAATTACCCATCAGAGGGTGTAACCTATTTGTTTTGACTAGTGGAGAAATCAATATAGGGTAGGGGGCATGACCTCCAAATGTTTATGAGATCGCTAGTATTGGATATAGAAATTTATTACTTTTCGCATATAGTAGCATTACCGCGCTCCTTAAGAAATTGTTTATCGTATTATTTGGCATCTGCAGTTATAAAATTCTGACTTCGTCACTGATTTCAACTTGATTATAGGTTAACATCGAACTATCAACTAGATACATTAAATATTAGTATTTGAAAATTTTAAAACCAAAATATATCAATTTAATCATGTGTTTGAATTCATTCCATTGATGCTCCATTTTTTTTTATTAATGTTTACATGATTTTTTATAAACATAAATAAATAAATAAATAAATAAATATAAAAGATGGTGGGCTATTTTATCAGGCCCGTTGGTTACATATGGCCCGATACTATTTTGGAGAAAATGGGTTGGGTTGATATGCAACCCAACCATTTGAAATGTGTAGAACTAGATAAAAATGGGTCGTCGTCTCCAAAAATGTAAAGTTACAGTTATGCCCTGCATTGATTCAATACTATACATTTAAAACAAGATTTGAGGTTTAAAATTCACTGTAAAATTCAACATTTAACATATATTAGATTAGTTTGGAATACACGAGAGAGATTCGATTAATTCCATTCTGGCCAATTAATTATTTAGTTAGTAAGATGTTCAGATTCCTTACATTGAATTCGTATTGAATCTGTAAAATTTTTGATGTTATATGTGTGTGTCTATAAAACCTCTTATCTAACCAGTTTAGCATATATTTTTAAGGGTAAATTAGTTTTAACTAGTTTTGTCATCCCCTACAATAATAATTTCAGGAGCATTACTAATTTAATGAATTAGTAGCATTTAACTGCGTGCAATAATTTTTGGTAATTACGATTCTTGTTAGCCGAATGTCTTATTAGTCATATTTTGTCAATATAACCTAATAGTAGTTATAAAACGAGCCATAAATATGTGTCTGTGTGCGCGCGCGAACTCACAAGAAAATTAAATATTAGTAACAAATTATTCAAGCTTGATTATAATTGGTTCATAAAATAAATTATAGCTCAAATAATATATTTTCCTGTTAGTACAAATTGGGAATAAATGTATAAAATTTTAAGAAAGATTAATCTATATTTGAAATACTATTTGACTCATTCAAGCAAATAGCTTGTAATTGAAGGCAAATTGAACTAACCATTTCTCCCAAAGGCCAAATCCACTCCTTTACTCCTGCTGGATGATACGGCGTCGTAAGCAACTCATCCTCACTCATAAATGTTTCTGTACTATTATTGATTTCAATTTTCCTTCAAACCCTAATTATTCTTCAGTTTTATTTTCATCCATCGAAGAACAGCAAATTCGTTCTTCGTTGTCTCGTGTTCGTCCGGGTATAATTATAGTTTTTATGTTCAATTTCTATGTACTTAGGTCAAATTTCGTACCTATGATTTAGATGTTTAATATTTATCACCCGATCCTTTAATTTTCCTTCATTTTTTTAAGGATTAAGCTGTTGTTCTAGCTGAAATCTTTATTTTAAGAGTTTATTTTATAGGAATATGTGCGTTATATAGCATGGTGATGGTCTTATATTATAATCGGATTAGCCAATTCCTGTTTTAGATTTTTATTGCCTGGTTTCGATGTTCTACGAATGTGGTTTATTTGCGTGGATTTTTCGATTTTGTAGCATGATCCAGCTTGAACAATTTCTTGTTTTGATTTTGGTTTCAAATGTTGTTGAATTGGTTTTCTCGAGTTTTTTGACCAGTGCCTATTTGTAATTATGTTCCGCTAGATATCATGTTAATATATTTATGGTTGCATGCTCTTGTACGTGAGTTGGTCCATGTGGTTTTCGGTATCCACACGTGGAAATTGAATGCGGATTGTTTGACTTCAAATTCGTCGTTTTTTCCCAAGCTAAAATAGGAATTTTAGAACATGTATTAGGGTTACGTTATATTTATGCTATCATATCATGCTAAGCATCTTCTGTTGTTCTGATGCTGCAATTGCGAAAAAAAAACACTATAAGCTCCCGAAATAAGATATTAGGATCTCAACTATTTTAGAAAACGTGTTAAGTGAGTATATCCTAATTTATGGTTATAATCATAGCAATCTACTTTACGAAGACCCTATTAATTACAAACTTGTCGTTATCAACATGGTATAATTTCACGATCTTATTTTCAAGAGCTTATTCTAAAAACAGATAGCGTCTTATTAGCTTCAAAAATATCTTATGAAGGTTAGGAGCTTATAAGAGGTTAAATGAGCTTACCCCCAACATTTTGTTTGAGGTATAGCCATTGGGTTCTAATCCAAACAGTTGCGTTAGAAGTTCAAAGTATAAGCTATAGCTTTTGTATTTGTTTCATTTTTATAAGATGGCTATTTTTCTATTTAGATTAAGTTGAAATGGCTGGAAGAAATCGCATTCCTCGTGAAACCTTTGACCACCGGCGTGGTTATCCCCCTGAGAGGCCTGCCCCTCGAGGTTCTTTGGTTCGTCACATGCCACCTCATCCTGCTCTGTTGGAGGAAGAACTTGAAATTCGACATGTTGAACTTCGCAGACTTCTAGGGGAAAACCATAGACTATTGGGGGATCGAGTTGCTTTGGAGCGAGAGCTAACTGCTGCACACGAAGAGTTACGTCGCTTGAATATTGCCATTGCTGATATTCGCGCTGAACAAGAACTCCAATCTCGGGAACTTATCGAAAGGGGTCGTAAGCTGGAGTCTGACCTTCGTGCAACAGAGCCTCTTAAAACCGAGGCTGCACAGCTTCGAACTGAAACTCAAAGGCTGAATACCATGAGACAAGATCTATCTAGGCAGGTCAAAGCCCTCACTGGAGACCTGGCAAAGCTGCAGGCTGAGAACCAGCACATTCCTGTTTTAAGGGCTGAGATTGATGGACTGCATCAGGAACTGTTGCGTGCTAGGTCTGTTTTCGCCATTTTTTGATATGTGCACTGTGAATAACAGAAGAGTTAATAACTTCTGTATGGCTGCCATAAGACCTGCTGATATGCTTAAGCTAGGAATTTTCAACTTGCAGAAACGCCATTGATTATGAAAAGAGGGCAAAGATTGAGCTGATGGAACAGAGACAGGCAATGGAGAAGAACATGGTGACGATGGCTCGTGAAGTTGAAAAGCTCCGTTCTGAGCTTGCGAATTCTAGGCCGTGGAGCTCAGGTTTCACCTTCTTGTTTCATATTCTTTTTAAGCCTTCCCTTGTCCATTGCATAACATGGATTTGCAGAACAATTACATTGGATTCTCGTCTTTCTCCCTTTTGACGTCATATATTGAAATGGAAGTATGCATAAATGCAACTTGCACTTTATGAAAATATTAGGGGTAACATTCTTTTAGCTTTTAGGAAGATCTTAAGATTTCTACTTTCTTTGAACCTGGTAAGTTTTAGCTGCTTGTTGTAAAAATTTAATTTGATAATAAATCTCACTCAATTTTTAAAGTTCGTGAGTTTATGTGATTAGCAAGAATATTGGCTTTCTGTTTTCAGAAAAAAAATGAATTATCACTTCAGACTCCCTCCTCCATCAACCTCGACTTGACACATTGAAGTTGTTGTTTATCAGCATGCTTCACTTTGTTATTCTTTAAGGGCCATCCTCAATCGAGATCCTAAATCTCATAAATTTGCAAATTTTGGAGACTTTACCCAAAAGTTCATCTCCAATGGAGATTTTAGAGTCTTCCCTAAAGACTGTAAGGTTTTTACTCAATTTAGGATTGTTTTGGAGACTTTTGAACAATTCATTAAGAGACTCAATTTTATAGAGCCCATCTCTGCAGTTTTCTATTTAGAAACTTTGACGTAAAGGCCGATCTCTAAAACAAGATACGGAGACCCATCTTACGGAATCCATTGAGGATGCCCTAAGAACACCTTTCCTTCCCAGGAATGCTTTTCCACCATCATCAGTATATCTTACCACACTTTCTTGTTTGCTGGTTCGTCTTCTTGTTTCTGTCTCGTCTTCTTATTTCTGGCTCGTCTTCTTATTTCATAGTCGTTCCTGCTCTTCCTATTCATATGATTCACCCAATTCTTTTATCACCAAACTAGGTTACTAACTATTATCTAAGCTTCATATTCAAGCTGTCTAGTGGTTGGTGCAAATTAGGAGTTGGTTATTGAAATGCATTAGAGAAGTCCTATGTACAATCAAGGAGCACAGAACTGAGTGTGTTTGCTATCATTCTTGTTCTCCAAGCACCTACAGTCCGCAGACGTTTGGGAAATTATGCTCATGTCTTTGAATTACGTATGTTTCTTCAGTTTGGTTCTGGGTCTCTGTCATTGAAGAGTCCTCTGGTGCGAAATACGTCCAGTTGGGCTTTGTTGAAAAAGTTTACCTCTTTACTAGCCTGTGTCGTTATTGCTAATCTCGGTTTACTTTTGGATTTTATGCTTGTATTTTTGACTTCATCTACCTGGTTGCCAAGGTGGACCTTATGGGATGAAGTTCAGCAATCCCGCTGCCAGTTTTCCTGCACCTTATGGTGATGGACTTGGGATTCGTCAGGTGTGGATGCTGATAATAAGACACTTCAGACATTTATTTATATACCACCAGACCATTCTGTTGAGGAGTTCTTATATTGGGTTAACCTTTTCTTCCAGGGTGCTATAGACAACTCCACTCCATACGGTTCAACTTCTGCTCCATGGGGAGGCCCTGAAAAACCACGGATGAATCGCAGATGAGTTTGGACGGATAAGCGATAAACCTAGTAGGATCACACCTCGCTAGTCTTGTTTATGTGCTACCCATAGAATAAGGGCAAGGAAGAGTGATGCCGAGAACTTGTGCGTATTATACCTGGAGTTCAACTTTTATAATTGCTTTTCTTTTTTACAAACCTATATAGGTGATTAAGGCTTCTATCTTTTAACTATGGGTTTTTGTTAGTCCTCCTTCTTACATAACCATAACTTCATGTCATATCTGATGGATGGTACTTTCAGTATGTTTTTCATATCTCACTATACTCATTGTTGCAATCACTTTGTTGTGTATAGATTTACTGGCACATCTTGAAATCATCTCTAGAATTAGGTGGTTCGATCTAGATCATATATTTAGGATAGGTACAATCAGTTGAGTTGCAGGGTGGCTTTTGTTTGCCAAAGGGAGCAATTGGTGCAAGAGATGTAGCTTTATTTATTTATTTTTATGGAAGGAGTAGTCAAAAGAGCTGTCTGTTGAAGTAAATGCTTCACATACTTTAGATGGTGATTTCATCCGTCAATTTTTACGAACCACATTTTAGAAGTGAGTTTGGTTATTGATGGAAATCTTAACGAGTGTGGTAGTTTTGAAGCTGTTAAAGACTTCCTTTCTCCATGGAAGGCTAATTGTCGTGAATCATATGATTTGAGCAGACTTTAGACTTTAGTAGATCTCGGTCCATTTTTTTATGGGCAAAAGTTTCTCGAATACCTCTATAGATTATTGCCCTTGCATTATGCATTCTAAACGATCTAGCAAAGATCAAATCGGTTGAGTTTAAATTATTGACAAGTATTCACTGTTGACTGTGTTCTATCGTGCATTCTTGCTTGGATTTGCTCACTTAGCAGTTAGCACAAAAGAATTGGAATTGTTGTCAGCACCTGTGAGGGCGTCTCCTTGTTGATTTCCTGTGTCTTGAAGATGGAGGTGGATTGAAGAGTTGCAATTTACTGGAATATTGCATGTCTTTGCTGGTCTTACTATTACGTAAAAGTTTGCTATTTAGGATTTGATTATTTTGGGGTTTTGCTAGTATGGTGCAATAATTGAAAACTCTAAATGGTAACGAATTTTCGTCTAGTGAAATTGCAGAAGTTGTCTGTATGAGTTGCATTGCTACAACAATCCAAATAGATGTTTTTATAGGAATTATTTGGAAAAAAAGGTATGATTTACTGACTTTTGGGAAGCTGGGAAACAAAATCTGCCAATTACTTTCTGTATGTTGACGGATTACAGAAAGGTTGCTGCAGTTTCTTCAGGGCTCAGATAAATTCTCCCCGTCCTCAAATTTCTCCTACAGATGCAAGTGTGGAGTTTACTTTTAAGAATACTTAATCGATTAACTTTTCATGCCCTTTTTTTTTTTTTTTTTTTTTTTTTTCTGTGACTAGTTTAACCTGTTCGTAGATTGGTTTTAGCATCACCTAACAGTCACGTGATAAAACCTTTTTAGGCTTCCACCGAAACCGAAACCCGAAACCCCAAAACCCAAACCCGAAAACCTAAACCCGAAACCCAAAAACCCTTTTATACTTCTAATAATACATAAAGTAGTTTGTGCTCTACGCGTCAACATTATTCTGGGAAGTACCGAGAGAAGCATGAAGGGTGCCCTGATGTATCACGAAGGCCGACTTCATTTCACTCCACAGGCAAGTATCCCCCGGTTCTCTAGGTATGCTGTCGTGACTAGTTTGTAAATTTATCTCTCTGTTTCTGTTGGTCACTCATACATAAGTTGGTTCATTTAATCTGGTCTATATTCATGCTTAGCTTTAGTCGATACGCTGAATGTAGTTGAGATGGATGTGAATTTTGAGGTTTCCGTATGGTAATTGGTTACTTCCCCTGCATATTATTTTGAAGACTAAGATCGTCAAGTAACATAAACGAGATGAATGGAGATGAGGCGATCAATGGAGATAGTGCTTCAGAATTTCGTTTTATGTTAAGTAAGAAGAATGTCTCAGCTAGGTACGAGATATAGTGAGAGTTGAGAGAAGGAAATGTGTAAAGGAAGAAAATCTTTTCTTTAGATAATACTTTCTTGCCTCGTGTATCTTGTTTGGTAGTAAATATTGTAGTTTAATTTATTACGCTGATGCAATCAAACCAGAGTAGTATCTGTTTGAATATGAAGATGATAGGTTTTACGATCAACTAACACTGGTTTCATGTCAGCATCTCCTGTTGAGGTTTTCGAGGATATATCGCTTGAGGTTTTATGGGTTTAGTAATGAGAGAGCGATAGTATAGACTTTTTCTTAGGGTTAGCATGTAGAATATGTATTTGAAATACTCGGTCGATAGATACCTTCAATTTTGGCATAGTCAGGGGAGAAGCTGGACTGTGATTAATTCAATAGTTTTCGAATGATTTGTACACGAATTAATAGATTCGTTGGGGTTTAAGTGGATGTGTGATGGGGTTTCTAGGATTACATACATGGTCCGGTTGGGTGAATTTTTTTCAGTAAATCGACAGTTATACAGGAGAAGACGACGAGTAGTATTTAGGATCGTCAAGTTTTTCATGCTATGTTATTAATTTGGTGAAATTGCTAGTGCTTTTCGGGTCATATTGAATGTTTCTACAACTCGGGGTTTATTTAATTTTGGTTTAAAATCTTATCGTTTTTCTTTTTGTTGTTCTAATAAAGCAATTTTTAATTCTTTGCAGATTGGGAGTTCCTGCTTATACGAAAATCTTCCAGAAAGGTAAGTGATCAGTTTCGCCGGTGGGTTTTTTCTTTCTTTCTTTTCTTCGATTTGAAATTAACTACACACATCACTGATTTAAAAATCGACATGCGTCATAACTCATAACATATTCTACTTAACATAACATATTCACATATTCTAGATATATATAGGGTCATATTCACTTATAATTGACACCTGAAAACAATGAGGCATGTCATTTACAAGAGTTCGAACTTAACGTAATGATATATGAAACGAGGAACCCTAAGTGTTTACTATTTAGAGCAACATCTAATTGGTAATTTGATTATGATTTTCGTGTTCATTTCACGTTCTCGTTTATGAATTTGTCTATTGCAAGTTATATATGTTCTTTCTTAATTATATTATTGAGTGATGTCTCTTTGAAGCCGTGTTGTTCTCCGGCAGTTCCGCATAATGCTGTTTGTTCTATGATTTATCTTTTCGAAATATTGTGTGTAGATGATATTCTTTTTATATATAAATAGAAGATAATAACTTTGTGATAATTTTTAAATATTTCTGTTATACTACTTAGTGATGATCCAATTCTAAGTTATTTGTTTATGTGTTAAAATTTTATTTTAGAAATAATTAATATTTAGGTGGTTTAATATTCATATGCTATATTGTGAATGTTTATGAGTTTATGTATTAACTTGCTGTAAACATTTATGATATTTTCATTTTTCACTTGGAATTAAGAAAGGTATCTAAATCTAATTATTAGGTAGTTGTGCATTTGACAGTCTTTAGCGTGCCCACGTGATAGAAAGGTTTCTCCAGTTGTTGCATTATGTTGTTTCTTAAAGTTCTCTAATTTAACAATATTTATTTTCTTTTTATAAAAAAATAACAATAGTTATGTGCGAGGCTAAATTACGAAAACTTCCTGAAGTTAGGCTAAATTATGAAACCATCCCCACCCATCTGTAATTATCAAAAAAATTTGACGGTTTCCGTCTTACGCTGACTTCCTTACTATTTTTCACGAATTCTTTTTGATTCCGGTGAATATTTTTGCGAAATTGCTAACCCATGAAGATGTGATATTTCTTTATACCATTTCATTATAGGGATATAATCGTCTCTTTTAGTAAATGTATATTCCCTCCATTCCTAAATAATAGTCGTTTTTCACATTTGCACAAATCTTAAGAAACTCAATAAATATGTATTGATTTTAGGAAAATATATATTGTTATATCAAAATACCCTTATTTATTGATTAATGCAGAGAGAGTGTTGAAGAGTTAATAAAGACATAATTGAAAAATATGTAATTAATGCACTGTTGGAATTCTAAAGTAACAAATAATATGGAACAAAAAAAATTCTTAAAAGTGACAGATATTATGGAACGGAGGAATTATATAAATTAGTTGGAGGATAGTGTAACTTCTAATTTAATTAGATGATACCATTTGAATGCGGGCTTCAGAATGTGTTAGTTAGTTCTTGGATTTAGTTAGTAACACTGAATTATTGACAGTCAAACACGGCTTAATATATTAAATGAGCTTGTTAACTATGTAGGATTATTTTTAGTAGTTTTTTATCTGTGTAATCCCACTTTGCATTCTTGAAATATACCATTTTGGTACTTTGAACTATCAAAACAAATTAACATCACTTCGCACCTTCGAAACGCAATAAATCATGCATAATTAAAAGTGCTATTATTATTTTTTAAGCCTAGATTTTTTATCATATTTTTTAAGCATAGTATTTATATATACACATTCGTTTAATCCACATACTAGACTTCACGTTCTCCATTAACACCGTCCCTCAACTTCTTCTCCTGCGCATATATAATATAATAATAATAATAATAATATAATAATATATATTAAATAAACACCCAAATTCCAGAACCCTACAACAGTTGCAGATTTCCCATTCCCAATTTCGCACCGCCACCAATCACAAAACAATCAGCCGCCGTTTCGAATTCCGGTGGCCTGACAAAAAAAAAATGACTACTTACGGCACTATCCCCACGTCATCATTCCCCGCCGCCGGCACCCCCGCCGTGAATCTCGAGTACATCTCACGCGCCAGGGAGACCATCACGGCCGGCCTCGGCACCTGCCGCCCATGGCGGGAGATGTTCGATTCCCACCGCTTCGGCATCCCGACGTCCCTCGCCGACGCGGCGGCGCGCGTGGGGACGAACGCCGCCTACTTCCGCATGAACTACGCCGTCGGCGTCCTCGCGATCCTGTTCCTCAGCCTCCTGTGGCACCCGATCTCGCTCGTCGTCCTCGCCGCGATGATGGCGGCGTGGCTGTTCCTCTACTTCCTCCGCGACAAGCCGCTGGCGCTCTTCGGCCGGACGGTTTCCGATAGTGTGGTCCTGGCCGCGCTGGCGGCGGCGACCATCGCCGTCCTGATGCTCACTAACGCCGTCAGCAACATCGTCGGGGCGATGCTCACCGGAGTAGCGGCGGTTCTGATCCACGGCGCAATGAGGAAGACCGACGATTTGTCCATTGACGAGGAGGCTGCTGGTCCATCTTCTTCCTCTCGATCTTCATACTAATTTTTTTTTCTCTGTTTTTCCTTTGAATAAAATAAAGTATATTTAAATTTAATTAATAATATTTTTATTAAAATCTCTTTTCAGATGCATTTTATTATTTAGTATTGTTTTTTTTTTTTGGAAATGCAGCTTTCTTTCTGAAGATTCTTCTGCGGGAAAAAAGTGTGGGAAATTGAAAAGTTGAAAATATGATTCTAAATTACGATTTTACCCCTAAAATCGATTTAATTACAACTTTGAAAATTAGGTGAGTTTGGCAAATGCTTTGAAAGTTGATTATAATTGAATGATAATTAAATTTTGGTAGTAGTACATCACATCATAATTGTAAATCTCCTCTTTTCATCAAATTCTTTTTAATTAAGTAAATTTTTTTAATCCATAATAATAATAATTTAAAATATGGTTCAAATTAAAATGATTTAAACATCATTAGAATAAATTAATGAATTTTAAAATTATTAGTTGAACTTTTTTTCCTTTTTCACTAAATTTTAACCAAATAATTATATTTCATTAAATAATTAAGTAATTAGAAAAACTTAATCAACCACTAATTTTGTACAACGTAAAGTAACTTAGGCCGGGTTTAAAATATTTTCTGTCCAGCTTCGAATTTCTGGACCGAGTTTTATAAGGCCCACAAAAAGCAGAGCAAAATCTACATCCCTGAAATTTATCTCGAGTACAGCGAAAGCTTCGACCTAAACCGCCGGAACGACTCACTTCCGATGGTGGAGCCGCCTTTTTGTAGCTGATGATCTGACCGGATTCTTCCACTCCGGCTTCCCACATCACCCTCAGGCGTCGACATTTGACCGGAATCCACCACGTCGCCTTCTAGTATTCTAAGAACCTATTGATATTAATTATAGCAACACAAAATTGCAGATATAAACTTATTATAATCAATCTTACATTAATAATGCAACATTTTAATTAATTAATTAATTAAATAATTTTCTTACCTGAGACATACGAGGTCTCGTCTGAGGATCCCTACGTAAGCACAAAGAAGCGGCATGCACCATGCAATAAGCTTCGTTCTCCGAGTAGTTACTTCTCAATCGTGGATCAACCAGTTCATCAATCGCATAAGCTTCCAACAATGGCCGAGCCTATATCCAAAAAAAAAAAAAAAAATCACGAAAAACGATTTTACTATACTGCCCCTAGCTCTGGTAATTAATTAAACATAATAATTCTTAGCATTTCGAGATTGATTTATACCCATTCTGTAAGACACTGCTGCCCCTTAGGCCTATTGAGATCCACCGCTTTTCGTCCCGTAAATAGCTCCACAAGCACAACTCCAAACGAGTAAACGTCGGCTTTTTCTGTGACCTGGCCGCTTTGCGCGTACTCGGGTGCTAAATACCTAAACGAAACATTGTAGTTTTTAATTTTTTTTTTTTTTTGTTATTGAATTTTTAGTGTTGGGTGAGGTGAGTGGAAATTTACCCGAACGTTCCGATAACTCGGGTCTCGACTCCGGTTTCTCCATCGGGTTGCCACCGAGCTAGACCAAAGTCTCCCACCTTGCCAAAACAAAAAAGAAACAAATAAAGCAATTATTATCATAAAGAAAAACATATATAGTATTGACTCTTTTAATATTTGAAAAATATAATGTAGATGATTAATTTGTACCAAGGGTTCGAAATCGTGGGTGATGAGAATGTTGTTGGGGCGCATGTCTCGATGCACAATGCAACCGACTCTGCATTCTTCGTGAAGATACCTCAATCCTCGTGCCGACCCAACCGCTATTTTTTGCCTTGCCCCCCAATATAGTATATCCGGATTTCGCCCTGTAAATTATAAGATGAACCATTAGAGAATCTATTTTGCTCCATATTATCTGTCATTCTAGAGTTCCAATAATGATCCAAAATTCAAATGCATTTCTTTTTACTGGTTTACCCTTATTAACCGAGCTCTATTAAAGATTCTCTCTCTTATAACCTCATTAAATAGTAAAGGCTATTTCAGTCTTTTTAACGCATTTTTTCCCCAAAAATTCGACCATATTTAAAAACTTTCTCAACACGTGCGCAAAAAAGATTTAAATGACAGTTATTACGGAATGGAGCTGTGGGGGGCCGCAGCTTGATCATACCGTAGAGATGTGAATCGAGACTTCCGTTGCATATGTACTCATACACCAACAACCTCCTACCATCCTCGATGCAAAAACCGATCAACATAACAACATTACGGTGCTGAGCGCAGCTCAAAACCTCGACTTCCGAGCAAAATTCCCGATCGCCTTGCGAGCTCGCTAGCTTGTGCTGCTTCACGGCAATCGCCCGCCCGTCCGGGAGGGCCCCACGGTGCACACAACCGAACCCGCCCTCGGCCAAAAAGTTTGCCTCTGAAAACCCATCCGTCGCTAGCGCCAGCTCAGCGTAAGCGAACCACCTAGGCGGCTTCCCAAACACGGGCGCTTTGTGCTGGCATATCGAGCACAAAGGAGGTGGACCCAGCGGCGGTGGCCCCCCTGCTCTAGAGAGAGAAATTGCCTCTCTCAAATCGCCCGTGAAATCAAGATTAGATCTAAAGCTCGAAGAGAGAGACGACAAGTTCGTTTCCGTGTCACTGTCGGAACTGGATTCTTCGTGATGATGGTCAATGCCTCGATTTTGTAATTTCGTCGCTAAATTTTCGGCTTTCTTGAAAACGTTGTTGCTATTAGTATTTGTTGCTTGTGTGATGAAGAAAGGTGAAGTTCCGGGATCGGAGCTCGAGACAGACGAGGTTCCGGCTTCTGTTGCGGTGAATGCCTCGGGGCTGCTCGACGGGGTCACTAGTGGGGCCCGCGTTGATGATGGATTCGAAGAACTATCAGCTTTTCCGAGTTCTTGTTTTTTCGTCTGATCATTATTTTTATTATTATTATCGGAATTCGTCGAATCCGGTTCGGTTTTGGGCGACCCAACTAAATTTAATCGGAGAACTTTAGGTTGAGAGCGCTTCATAACGACGACGTTGCATTGCAGCTCTTCCATGCACCGCTTTTCCTCGGGTTTAAGATGTCTGCATGATATTTTTTAAATATACAATTAGGCCTCCATCTCAGAGTAATTTTAATTTAGTGACAAACAAACGAGATAATTACTTGTCCAAAACGACCCAACTGGCTCGATTTTTCTTCGCCTCGGCAGCAACGGATCCAGGTGGGGTCCCCGACACGATTTTTATCTTCACGTTGATCTGAAAAATATTACGAAAAAACCGTAAGATCGGCATTTTTTTGTGTTGAGTCTAAAATTTTAACAAGAATGTATGTATGTATGTATGTATGTACTCACTTTATTAGGATCGTAAACCTCGTGAAGCTGAAGAATCATCTGAGAGCAATAATCTGTTATGTCGAATTTCTGATCCGCACTCGTACCAGATTGTGACCTCCTATGTCCGCTTGCACAATCTCCCGCAAATCTCGGAAATCCCCAAAATTTTCTACCTGAATAAAAAAATAAACAAAATTTACTCGATACTCGATTCAAGATTGTTCGTTCGATAAGCTATGAAACTAGGCTGAAATAAAGCTCTGTTTTGATTGTTTACCACACTAAACTAAAACACAAGTACGAAAGCTCGATGAAAGTTCGAACAAACGGCTAAGAAACGAAGCTTACCGGAGGTGTGTGAAGAGACGACCACGAGAAGGGTAATGCAATCGCCAGGCTGGACGACATGAGTTAGTGCCCAAATCAAAGCAGTCTTAGGAATCTCCTTTGCTGCCTTAACAGCCACAACAACCTTCTCAGCTCCATCACAACCCTTGTCCGGTTTTACCATTTTCTTCGATTCTCTACTCATTATATCTTCCCTCGAAAAGCAAAAGTAAAAATAAAAATAAAATAAATAAAAAAATGAATAAAATACCCACTCTCCTCTTCAAGCACTAGCTTTCTATCTTCTTTTTAACAGATCCAAAATCATATCTCTCTCTCTCTCTCTCTCTGCCCTTTTTGTTTTTTTGGTTGGTAATTCCAATAATTGGAATGCTGGGAAAAGTGGAATTGAGATTCCTTCCTAAAATCAAGATTGGTTTTCTATTTTTTTTCCCACACTAAAGAAAATCAAGAACTGATCAAGAAAATCATTGAGATGAAGCTAGAGTTGAAGTTTCTTCACAAAGTCAAAATCTTTACCAAAAATAGAAAACCCCCAAACAACCCAATCAGCACACACACACACACACACACACACACACACACACACACACACACACTAATCCACTGCAAATATGTGTACTCAGAAAGAAAAAAAAAATGCAAGTAAGATTGGGAAAGAGTAATGGGGGGTTTTATTTTTGCTGTCTTTGTGTCTTTTTTTGGTCCCTTGTTTCACATCAGAACAGCTAAACAACAATGACAATCATAACAAGAAGATGACACCCAAGAAATAAAGATAAGCACTTTTTTTACAAGGGGGCTCACTGTTTCTCTGTGTGTGTGTGTGTGTGTGTGTGTGTGTGTGTGTGTGTGTGTGTGTGAAAGAGATGTCACATGCTTATGAGATATGGGATTGACATCACAGAAGAAAGGAAAAAAAACCCAGATCAAAATTATGTAAGAAAAAAAAAATCACTTCTTTATGGTTATGGTGATTCTTGAAAAAAAGAACAGTGTGGTGAGTGTGTGTGTGTGTGTGTGTGGAAGTAAGAGCAAAAAAATGGACTTACATTTGTGGAGAGAGAAATGGGGTGTAAATTGGTTTCAGTTCTGTGTCTCTCTCTCTCTCTGAATTTTTACAGACAAGGTCGTCTTCATGGTTTTTCTTTCTCATTTAATTAAGGTTAATTTACTTCCCCCTGCATTTACTTAACTATTACAGTCCTCTTTAAATCCTTGTTTTCTCCGAGGAAAGTCAAAATTAGTAAATACTTGAAAAATTATACAGCCGGTATATGTATAGCTCAACTGGTTACAGGGTGGTAAATTAGTGTAATATCCTCAGATCGAGTATTGGAAGTCGCAGTGTAGAAATTTCAACTCCAATAATCGACACCAGAACAATGTTCGCTACCCTAACGAGCTATTGCGTCACCGTAATTTACATTGTTCCATCAAATACTCGTGAGACCAGAGAACGAGAGCCTCGCATTCTTTTTACAAATATCACATTTGATACCAAATTTTAACTGTTTTAAAATTGATGATCTAAAACAATGAGTTGAAGATTTTACTAACCAAGTAATTAGCTAGTCAATTGAAAATTAATGGAATTATTATAAGTTAATCCGAATTAATTTTTTGCATTAATAATTAGTGTCCCTACCACACTTACTTTTTGGCATTAATTATTTAATCTTGTCTTTTTAGGGAAGTTGCAACTTATTATTACATCTCTGTGGGAATGCTGTCATGAATTTCAGTATGTTTGGTCTTTAATAAGATTTGTGGAATTAAATTAGAAAAGACAATGTTTTAGTATTGTTTTGATTTCTCCAAAATATATTTCTTTTTCACAAAACATACTCTATGTGTTTCTAATTAATTATTGTTTTTAGTTTTGTATAAGTATTAAAAATGCCAATAAACCTATCTTAATTTATGGAGAGAAAAGAAAATACATTAAAAAAACTGAAATAACCCTGATCATTTACCGATGTGATAAGATACTTGAGTTTAATTGTTAAGGTTAAAACTTAGGATAATAAAAAAAATGAATAAGGCAGTACAAAAAATATAGAGTAACAAATAATATGGACCAAAAATATTTTAAAAAATAAACAGTTCCTATACAAAGATGAAGTACAAAAATGTCAATCTTGTAAAGTTGAAGAGCCAAATTGACATAAATGATAAAATAAAAGGATTTAAAGAGTGAATGGGAAATATTTACCCATAATGCCCTATATATTTATGTTAATAATAAAAAATAAATAATAAATATGAAAATGGGCATTTAATGAAGGCAACAACAATATGGGCAGGTATTCAAATCAAACCACTAACACTGTATAAATTTAAGGTGACAGCCCTATCTTCTATGCACCTGCACATATATTTATTTTGTCCCCATCTTTTATGCATTCTATGACTTTATAATTAATATTTCATTTAAATTATTTTACAAAAAAAAAAAAAAAACTAATGTTTTTATATATGTATAAAAAATAATTGGTAGATTGTTTAGACTAAAAACAATATAGGGGTGAAATTTGGAAAATAATTTTTGAATTATGTACAGGCGAATAAAAAATTTAAGACTTCCGATTCCGCCATTTTCAATTAAAAAAAATTCAATTATGGAACAAGTTTTTCATTCTAGTTTTCGAAATTCTGATCATCAATTTATTTGTAACTAATTTTTCACTTCATTTGGATTTTTTTAATGAAAATTTTAATTATGATCTAATATTTGTTGATTTCCACCACTAGCTAAAGATAAATAAGAAGACAATGGCATTCTTGTAAATTAGCTCCCATGCAAACGTTTTCCGTCTGCAAGCCAACGACGCCACACAGTTAGCCTGATTTAACGGTCGCTCGGCGTTAGTACGCTGCTGCTTTCGAACATCCGGAATTATAATTTTATGAAATCGAGGGGCTTTTGAATAAATTAATATTTTATTTTTTTAATTAAATTGTTTAATTGCTTGTACGTGACACGATCTGGTTTTTGTCATTAAGTGCGACAAAATTTGAGATTACCGAACAAGACGAGATTAAACGTGCTGATTAGGTACGCAATTTGATTAATTAGGTACGATCATAGTACTAATTTTCTATTCACTAATTAAGAAGTCAAGTTAATAAATAAATCAATTTTTTGAAGAGACAAATTAGGGGTTTTGAATTTTTTTAGTGCATGTCAATTAAAAAAAAAGTGGTAATCAATGTAATATTTGTATTTCAAAAGTGACGGATGATATGAAACACAAATAATTCTTAAAATTGACGGTTACTTAAACTGAAATGAATTGATTCGAAACGAAAAGAGTGATTTTTTTGTAGATTTTTAAAATTAATGGGGATTGGGAGATGTAAAAGAAGTCCTAATTTCATTTATTATCCCAGAAAGAAACATAAAATAAGAAAATAAATAATAATAATAATAATAATAATAATAATAATAATAATAATAATAATAATAATAATAATAATAATAATAATAATAATAATAATAATAATAATAATTTCATTGTCATTGGGCCTAGTGGGGTATAGTTGTTAGTAGTTGATTATTTAATGAAGCTATATGGCTTTATTTGTTCCTAAAACCATGGGCCATATTTTGGTTGTCCAATGCTCCCTATTTAAATAAATATCGGTTTTAAAATAAATAAATCTCCCTTTGGAATCCAGGAGATAAATATACTGCGGAATGTTTTAATTGAATGCAAAAAATAGTTTTATTTATTTATTTTATCCATGAGAATTCTAATAAATGAAATGAATGGATTGTTGGAATTATTTCAATAATTATGTGGGCTCACATATGTAACGTAAATGTGTATGGCTATCTAAAAGAAAGTCCAAATTAATTGTGATCTAATAAAGATTATTGGGTTGGACTTATGGGTATTAGACTATAATTATGGGCCTAATGTGTAGAGACAATTAGGGTTTAATTGTGATTTATTGATGGGGCTGAATCACAATTATAATATAACTGGACTCTACAGTTATATAAAGGGTCGTGGTCCCCAAAGAAACGCAATCATTCCGTCTCTTCTAAAATCCATCGTTAGAGAGACAAATAAGGAACTGCGGATTCTTTGGAAGGCCTATCCCAAATCCAGTGGAGATTCGAAGATTCGATTCAATTGTGTAAGGTACGCTTCCGTGTTTATGTTTGTGTTTAATTCTCGTTGATTCAAGCATGTTGGTTCTTGGGAATTCGTATGTATGTACGATAAATTTCTAACAAGTGGTATCAGAGCCACCATGTTTTGGATCATTGAGAATTTTCCATGGGTTAAATTATATATGTTGCAGCGTAATAAAATCTATGTTCACGGATTTGATATTTTAAGAATTACGGTCAATAATCTGCATATATGAATTGGAATTCTCTTTAAGATTAGTATTCAATTCGGTATTATGTGATATATATATTTTTTCCATGGATTCATATTTCTGAAAATTGGGCTTTATGCTGATCTAGAATTTAGTATTATATGAAACCTATTTTTTTGTCAATTTAATTATGAAAATTCCGGTCGGATATTAAATCCGAAATTAGGTCCCCTGAATTTGAAAATTCGGATTAAGGTTTTAAGGTTAATATTTGAAAATTCCAAATCTAAGGTGAAATTAGGGGCGACGGTCATCTGTTTATGTCGACCACAATTCCAATCTATGCCACCAATTAATGTTCAGACTTCAGATCCCATTTGGTTTAATTTTGTTACTTGAATCTGAATATGGAATAAAGAAAACCCTCCATCGCCATAGAGTTTCAAACCTGAGACGACGGCGGCCCTATGGCTTTCTTCGTCGTAAAGTTTCGGGCGGCGATGGAGCTTCGGTCTCGCCACGGCGGCATAATTCGCAGAAGGGGCAGCCGGGGCGCCGACGGTGGATTTCGGTGGCGTGGGTGCTTGTGAGTTATGCGTATCCGGCGGTGGTGTACGGCCGATTAGGATGGTGGTCCCATAGTCGTTCGCGGCGGGGCCATTTTTCTGGCCAGCCAATGATCAGCGTTGAGGCATGGTGGTGGCGGCGGGATTGGCAGATTAGGGTAGAAGGATTAATTAAGTTTCGGAAAATTGCAATTCAGTTCCCTAATTTAAGTTTAAGATATTTAGCAATATTTCGATTTGGCCCGTATCTTGGTTATGCCTGATTTTGGGCCGGGGTCAATTTGAAAGAATAAAAAAAAAAAAAAAAATCTGTTTCGGGGCCCTCAATGTTTCTGAAAACTGCATTTCAGTCCCCGCTTTTAAAGTTTCTCTCAAAACAGTCATATTTTTCGAAAATATATTATAAATCTCAAATCAAGTATTTCTGAATCTTAGGTCCCTTTTCTCTCAAAGGTTTTTTCTTTCGAAATTTCAATTCAGTCCTTTAAGTTGAAAGATTTTCTGGTTTTGGGGCAAGTGCAATTTTTTAAGGAATAAAATGGTTAATTTAAGGTTTTGGGGCCGTTTAAATATTTCAATTATTTTGAGGGACCAAACTAATATGTGAATTATTTTAAACTCATTTAAGTTTTTGTTTGGTCAATAA